TATCATTCTCTGTATATATATATATATATATATATATATATATATATATATATATATGTATATATATATATATATATATATATATATTTATATTTATATTATATATACTGTTGAGACTATACTCTTTGAAATCCACTCATAACTTCTCACTCCAAATGACCACACATCATGACCACTCAAAATAACCACTTACCATGACTACTCAAAAGGACCACTCACCATGACCACTCAAAAGACCACTCACCATGACTACTCAAAAGACCACTCACCATGACCACTCAAAATGACCACTCACCATGACCACTCAAAATGACCACACACCATGATTACTCAAAAGGACCACTCACCATGAATACTCAAAAGGACCACCTCCATGACCACTCAAAATGACCACTCACCATGACCCCTCAATATGAAATCTCACATGTTTTCTCACCATGACATCACACATTTGTCCTCATGATGTCATTTCACATGTGTGCTGGCTTTACAAGCTACCCCTTGCTTTATAAGCTACCACTGGCTTCATAAGATACCACTGGCTTTATAAGCTACCACTGGCTTTATAAGCTACCACTGGCTTTATAAGCTACCACTGGCTTCATAAGCTACCACTGGCTTTATAAGCTACCACTTGCTTTATAAGCTACCACTGGCTTTCATAAGCTATCACTGGGATTTCTTTATAAGTTAACATGGCCTCATGAACTACCACTGGCGTTTATAAGTTACCACTTAATGTACAATCTACCATTAGCCTTTCTTTATAAGCTGTAACTGGCCTTTATAAGCTACCACTGGCTTTATAAGCTTCCACTGGCCTTTCTTTATAAGTTACGACTGGCCTTTTGAAGGGTAACTCAGAAGGCTCGAATTTTAAATTTGTTTTCAAAACAATAAATTATAGAAATCTTCTTATTGATATAATCGATGCACTTTGTTCAGTAACTTGGTTTTACCAATATCTTAAGTACATTAGTATTTAATCCAGTGGATCTTATACGTTTACGGGCCCACCACCCCTTTGAGGCTTAAAACTATCCATGAGCGTCCCTTATATTTCCCCATTAAAAGGATTCTCAGAGTAAACTATTCACGGCTCTCTACTGTAGATTTATTTATTATAACTAATTTAGCTTTTTTTTAAAATTATCTTAATTCTTTAACAAAGGTTTTTGATATATAACGTTTTTTCTGGTCAAATCAATGCCTTAACATACTTAACATAACATACTTAACATAACATACTTAACATAACATACTTAACATAACATACTTAACATAACATACTTAACATAACATACTTAACATAACATACTTAACATAACATACTTAACATAACATACTTAACATAACATACTTAACATAACATACTTAACATAACATACTTAACATAACATACTTAACATAACATACTTAACATAACATACTTAACATAACATACTTAACATAACATACTTAACATAACATACTTAACATAACATACTTATATAACATAATTAACATAACATACTTAACATAACATACTTAACATAACATACTTAACATAACATACTTAACATAACATACTTAACATAACATACTTAACATAACATACTTAACATAACATACTTATATAACATAATTAACATAACATACTTAACATAACATACTTAACATAACATACTTAACATAACATACTTAACATTACATACTTAACATAACATACTTAACATAACATACTTAAAATAACATACTTAACATAACATGCTTAACATACAGGGCTTCGTATAATGATAGCAGTTTTCAATGTCTGGTTTCAAGTCTCTTGTCAGAAACGTCTTGGACTTTTGTCATATTTCTATGGGATTTCTTTGTTTTGGGCAAACATGGCCAAAAAACAAACAAACCCGCACCTTAACCACCTTCCACCATATGTTGTGTTGATCGTGCAACAAGAAGCCTCTTACAACCTTCCTGTAATCCTACTTCCGGCAACAAAAAGGAAACCTCTAAACTTTTTTCACTGTCATCTGATACTCATTAGACTTCTTTTTGTCTTGTTTTCTGATGAAGGCTCTAAGCCGAAACGTCGAAATCTTTTGTCCTGTCTACGATTTCAAGTTTCACATACCTTGTTCTTATATTTCATTTACCATTTTCATTAGTGCAGAATATGCTCATCATTTAGATACAGGGGCTGTTTCTGCAATGACTAGAACATCTAATTCTGTAGAAAGAGATAATCGTACCGTTTCTTAACCTTTGGTCACCAATCATTTTTAAATTCGCCTTAATTAGGCTACTCCCTCTTCCCCTTCACCAATTCCATCAATGGATACCGTACAATCGGATTGATCACTTAATCTGGCATTTCCATCAATGGATACTGTACAATTCGATTGATCGCTTAATCTGTTATTTCCATTAATGGATACTGTACAATTGGATTGATCGCTTAATATGTCATTTCCACCAATGGATACCGTACAAATGGATTGATCATTTAATCTGGCATTTCCATCAATAGATACCGTAAAATTCGATTGATCGCTTAATCTGTTATTTCCACCAATGGATACCGTACAAATGGATTGATCATTTTAATCTGGCATTTCCCTCTATAGAAAATCATAAAGTCCCTCACAAAAAATTTTGTAGCATATCCAAATGTTGTCCTTAACTTGCAGATGATCATCTGGCAACATCCTCTCATCTTCCTACTCAGAAGGACTTGAAAATTTGATAAACTGCAGGTTGACATTATATTAAGCTGGAATAAATTTATTGTTCCAAAGAAAGGCAGCTCGAATCAACAAAATCTTAATAAATTTTACCACAAACCATCAGGTTATAGTCAATCATTGTGTGCAAATACTTAATGTACTTCATTTCAGTAATAGTTACTTAGTCCTTGCAGTAATAGTTACTTAGCCCTTGCTGTAATAGGTACTTAGTCCTTGCAGTAATAGTTACTTAGTCCTTGCAGTAATAGTTACATAGTCCTTGCAGTAATAGTTACTTAGTCCTTGCAGTAATAGGTACTTGGTCCTTGCAGTAATAGTGATTTAGTCCTCGCAGTAATTGTCAGTCCTTGCAATAATGGTCACTTAATCATTTGGGTTTGGACATGTTGACAACGAATTGCATAGAGTAATAAGACATTTGGCTCCGTTTGTCTCCGCGCCCCAAAAGTGACAACCAACAGCCGCAGCCAGTCCGTGATAATTGTCCACCATTTCCAGTAGTTTACTTTTGAGCAAAAATTATATCATTGATCAGCAATGTAATAAAATATCGGCTTTTTAATGTTAACTGTTATTCAACACACACTTGAAAGTTTGTGGATCATTTGTAAAGTGCATGAAATTCTAGGCCTACTCATTGCTGTCAGCTACTAGTGCCGTAATAAGTATACATTTATTTATGTTAATGGCATGCTTTTAAAAATTAGATCAGATGCCCTGGGTCTTTTCATTCTATTTGTACCAATAGCATAAGATATTATATGATAGAATAATGTTAGTCGTTCCCGGGGCTCCGGTTGACAAGCCTGTGGTGGATTTCCGATTAGGAG